TGAGACTCTGTTCTCCCAGTGCAGGGGGCCTGGGTTCGATCCCTGGTCAGGGAACTAGATCCCACATGCATGCCACAACTAAGAGTTCACATGCCACAACTAAGGAGCCCGCCTGCCACAACTAAGCCCCAGCGCAACCAAATAAATAAATATTAAAAAAAAAAAAAGGAAACTGCCTCCTACTATCAAAACTCATTGACACCACCTCGTTGTCTTGTCTACTATATGGCCTCATGACCTCCGTTCTTGCTCCTTCTCTTCCCCTCACTCTACAAAATATCCAGTCTCTTAGATATCCAGTCACTGTTGTTGAAGTCTTTTCCAAATGACATACTGTTGTTGCTTTGTTTAAGATTCTTTAATGTCTCTCCATGACCAAAAGAAATTTTTTAGCTTGGCACAAGAAGTCCTTCATGACCTGGCCATCCTCTAACCTCACCTTTCGCTTTTATACTTTATAATCCAACAATGTCAAGTACTTAGCTTTGACATTGTTGTCAGGTACTTTGACATTACTTGTAGCTGGCTGTATACATCATGTAATTTCATTATTCCATTTCTTTGCACAAATTATACCTTCTGCCTCCTATCTTTTAACCCAATAACTGAATATAGAAAATCATTATAAAAATTACCTAAAATAATTGAAAACTTCATACATAAGTACATTTATGGCAGTTCAATTCATGATATAAAAATTAAAACAGTCTAAATACCCGATAATATAGCGATAAGTATTATGGTACAGGCACACAATGGAATGTCATGTAATCATTAACATTTTAAATAAGTTGTATGTAAAATTTTATTTTTTTTAAATAAGACACCAATAAAAATATAAAAAATACAGAAAAGCATGAAGAACATAAAGATAACCAAAGATCCTCTCAAAGAAACCCACTAATAACATTTTTGTATATATCCAATATTTTCCCCATGGAAATATCTGTATAAATATAAATAGAATCTTACCCCATATAGAGTTCTTGTATCTTGTACTTTTAACACCATAAGTATATTTTTATTATAACATTCTTGGAAAATATAAGTTTTAATGACGCATAAAATTGCATCATGTAGATGAACCATAATTTATATGACCTTTCCCCTATTTAGGGGGGAGGGCAGCATAAAAATATTTTAATAAATATCTTGAACATTTATCTGTGTATGTGTTCTAACGTGGTTCAGAATGCTTAGCCCAGACCCACCACTTTCTGGAGAAACCTATTTGAACATCGGCCCTTACAACCATGTTTTGTGCCTTATCACTTCATCCCTGGGCATGTCTGAGAGCACCAGAGTGAACATCTGATACAAAGCAGGCCAATCCAAAGGCTTACCAGTAGCCTATAGTTTGGCCTGGTCTCAAAGACTTGTCAGGAGGTAGTAATTATAAGTTGAGCCAATCATCTTCCCCTACTCAGAAATCTAAACAGAGACCCAGAAGTTAGAAGTTAGTGATGGGCAATAAAATTGAAAAAAATATATTCAAGGATGTGGTGACAATTATAAGCATGCACAGAGTGAGTAAACAGGAGGTCAGTCTGTAGAGAGGAGAGGAATAACCAAAGAGAAACAAAAGTTCTTGAAAGAGTAGCCTCCTTGTCTAATGGCTTTCTACAGCAAATTCTCATATTGAAGCTTCTGTCCTTGTGTTTTCTTTTTCTTTTTTGGTGAGATTTTAAAACATAATGTTATATAACTCAATTTTTATATGAAATAACTTAAGTGGATCTCTGTTCTTTGCAAATAGAACTACCCTAATAACACAACAATGTAAAGCAATTATACTCCATTAAAGATGTTTAAAAAAAAAAAAAAAGAAGTACCCTAATAGAGTGTAACTCTATTTCCACAGGATATACACTAGATATGAAATCACTATAGGACAAAGAATAATGACAATTTTAAGGCTTATAATTGGCCAAATAGCTTTACCAAAGCATGTCAATTTACCCTCAACATAAGTAGTGTATAAGTATCAATCATTCTGTACTCTCACTAAAAATAGCTATTACAATTTTTGTTAATGATAGTGGTATTTTCATTGCTTTAATCTGTTGACGTCCTTTGCCGTTTTTTAAAGTTGGTGTCCATCTCTTGTATTAACTTATAAAAGTTCATAACTATCCTAATCAGGGCACATATTTTCCCTGTTGTCTTGACTTCCATATGTTCTTAACCTATAGTTTAAATTTTTTTCATGTGGTCAAATTCCTAGGTATTTTTTCTGAGTTCTTCCATTTCATCAAACTCTCAAAAAATGCATGTGTGTTTTCAACCATGTAAAAACCCACTTTGGTTGATTTTAAACATTTTATGTTTAAAATGGTAGAACCTCCTCTAGAAGCAAAAAAAGAGAGAAAGAAATCTTGTGCTAATCTTGAACGTGAATCAGAAAAGATGGATGGGGTTAACTTGTGGCTTTGTTTTTGATGAACCAGCCTTCATGAAACCATATGGAGGTTCATGGAACACAGCTTGAAAACCTGTGCTTTAATCAATATATATTAGATCAGTATATATGATATAGGTCATGAGACGAAAGCCTAATTTTATTTTTCACGAAAGAGTTAAATAATTTTCTCAGCACCATTTACTGAATAATCCTTCTATACATAAATCTTTTATCATATGTAAGTATTTAAGCATATCTACTTAATGTTTTATATATATATATATATGTAATCCATATACTGGTTTATTTTTAAGCTATTTAGTAATAACTGAGCATTCTGAACATTTTTTCAAATGTACAATCAAGTTCTCAATATTTTAACTTCAATATATCATTTATTATATGTTAGGGCAATCTCATTAATCTTTCTTATAATTATCTTTGCTCTTCTCCAATATCTATTTTTCTTAAAAGACTTTAGAATACTGTTTTCAATTTCACATCTCATTGGGATTTTGATGAGATTGGAAATAAATCTAAATTAAGAACATCCCCTCTATACAAGTCCCTTTATTTTCAATTAACTGTTTTGTTTTTCATTATTTTCATTCTACATTTTTGCTATTTGTTCCTTTTAAAGAAATTTTAGTATTTCAAACCCTTTTTTGCACCCATTGTATTTTTTTGATCATTACAAGAGTTTAGGAAACTTGGTTTTTATATTATTACCCACCTTAATGGGTTTAATTAGTTCACTTTAAATTAACCTTTAAAAATATATTGTAGGCATGCTTTTGTTTGCCTAATAAACATTTGCCTATTCTTTTATATCAATAAATCAATATTGAGCAATCAATCAATTGAAAATTGGTCAACTGACCAATATCATTTTGCTTTAATCTTTTCTGTTGTAATAGCAGATAAGTAAAATTTTAATTCAATCAAGGGTTTTCAAAACTTTTTAAGGGGAGATTTAACCTATTTTGGTAAATTTGATTTCCTCTCATCTTGATCCATGTTCTCCAATTTTTTAGGTCATCTTCATGTTGTTTCTGTTTTCTGTCTTTTGCTATAATAGGGACTGAATATTCTTTGCTTTTATCTTCTCTGTTTTGAAAGAAATATGTTTTTAGTTATTTTAGTTGCAATTTCTAACTTTGTAAAAAAATATTTAGACCTTTATTTCTAGAGTTGTTAAAGTCAAGAAGAAAATGTAATGAATCCATGCTATTTAAGGTCAGAGATGTGGCACACTTTCTTTTGCTGTCCTTCCCTCATTTGGTTGCCAGATTTAGCAAATAAAAACACAGGGTGCTGTTAAGTTTGAATTTATATGAACAAATAATTTGTTAGTATAAGTTCCATGCAATATTTGGGACATACTTATACTAAAAAATTATCATTGTATATCTGAAAATCAAACCTAACTGGGTGTCCTGGATTTTATCTGATAACCCTACTTTCCCATCCAGACTTTAACATATAATGCTTTTATACTCAACATTTGTATATTAAATATTTTCTTGTACAACTATTTAATATTTTTGAAGTTTTGTAAACAAATTAACAATTATTCAAGACTTAACTACATGTTTAACTGATTTTAGTGTTTGTTACCAGTTCTTTTACACTATGACTTCCACATTCTTGAGCTCTCTTTAAGGTACATATTTGATATGTTTTCTGTTTTCTTGCTTATCTAATTTGTTACCTACAAACGTAAAAGACAATTTAGTTGATAAGATAAACTATGGGCGATAACATTTTTCAGCCTCACAATTCTGAAGGTGTTATTCTGTTGTCTTTTGACAATTACTGTTGCAGAGGTCTTTATCCATTTTCCCTCTTTGGTTTTTTAGAAAACCAGAATTTTTCCACACCTCCTAGTGTCTGAACCTATGAATAAATGTGGAAAACTGGGAAGGGGAATGGGTGAGAGTGTATTTTGGTAACCTCGTAGTGCAGCACCCCTGCAACAAAAGGCTGGTTCTTGAGTTTTCTGGGTGACAGAAATAACATCTCTAAGATACCCTATCTTGGATAAGGGTCATACACTGTTTTCCGAATTTACTGGCCCTTTAGTTAGTTCTTCAACATTTGAGAACTTGTTGTCTACCAGTTTGAGTTTCAAGTTTTGTGTGTTTTCATTTTTTTTCTGTAGCTTCTTAGGGACTTTACAGGTGAGTCAAGATGCTATTTCATTTATACCTAGCCAATTTCAATTCAAACCAAAATATAAGAAAATGTTTTGCAGTCAGTGAAAATATAAAATTGAACATACAGTATGACTTCATGCACATGAAAACGCACAGGAAAAAAGGCTTAGAATGAAACAGGATGAAAAGTTTTCTTCTTGACTCTTCTATATATTTTATAATGACTATGCTTAATATTTATTGTAGAAAAAGAAAATACACTTTAATTTAAAATATCCTCCTAAGGATCTCCTCTTGAAGCAAATGATTTTTAGTAGGAATTAGGGGAAACTATAAATGTTGCTTGGGATTATTTGGGTTATTTATAGAATTTTCTTCCCAGCAGCATTTACTGGGCTTAAGGTGAAGCTTTGATTAAAGCTGTTATAACTAAATGAACAGAATTATAAGGTTTTTCTTCTGTGATTACTGTGAAGATGTGAATTCTGATCGAACCCCTTGTAATACTCATGGCATTTATGAATCTTTTCTCCCATGTGGACTCTTTGATGAATTCGAAGAGCTGAGCTATGGCTGAAACCCTTACCACACTTAGCACATTGATAAGGCTTCTCTCCTGTGTGGACCCTCTGATGAATGTGAAGATTTGAGCTGTGACTAAAGCCCTTTCCACAATCATCACATTTATAGGGTTTTTCTCCTGTATGGACTCTCTGATGAATGAGAAGATGAGAACGCTGACTGAAGCCCTTCCCACACTGTTCACATTTATAGGGTTTCTCTCCAGTATGTACTCTTTGGTGAGTGTGAAGTTTGGAACTCTTGCTGAAGCCCTTCCCACATTCATGACAAGTATAGGGCTTCTCCCCTGTATGGACCCTCTGATGAATGCGAAGATCTGAGCTGTGACTAAAGTCCTTCCCACAGTCGTCACATTTGTAAGGCTTCTCTCCTGTATGCACCCTCTGATGGATTTGAAGATTTGAGCGCTGGGTAAAGCCCTTACCACAGTCATCACATTTATAGGACTTTTCTCCTGTGTGGACTAACTGATGAATTCGAAGATTTGAACTCTGACTGAAGCCCTTACCACACTCATCACACTTATATGGTTTTTCTCCTGTGTGGACTCTCTGATGAACATGAAGTACTGAACTCCGACTAAAACTCTTACCACACTGATCACACTTAAAAGGCTTCTCTCCTATGTGAAGTCTCTGGTGAATATGAAGTAATGAATTTCTACCGAGGTCCTTATCACACTGCAGTCTATAGAGTTTCTCTTCTGTGTGGACTCTTTGATGACAGTGAAGACTGGCGATCTGACTGAAGCTCTTACTACACACATTACATATATAAGGTACCTCCCCTGGGTGGACTCTCTGATGAAAGTGAACACCGAAGCTCTGACTAAAGTTACTGGCAACTTCATTACATCTGTACAGCTTCTTACCTATGCGGATTCTTGGATGTCTGTATAGGTCTGATCTCTGAGTGAAGCACGCTGTGCTGATGGAGCATGGATACAACTTTTCTCCAAGTTGATTTCTCTTGTGAACACACTGTGAGTTCCAATAATAACTTTCTTTACATTTATTATATCCACGGTATTTCTCTTCCGCAGAGCCTTTCAGCAGGTCATTTTGGCATATCTCCCCAATGTACTCTGGAAGGGCTTCCTCTCCTGGGATATAAGAATGCAGACCTATGAGCTTCTGTTCTCTTTCCACAGAGAGATTTTTCCTGGATATGACAACATGGTATCTGCATCCTTGAAAACCATGTGAATCACTCACATAGATTTCTCTACTCTTGTCTTCAGTGTGTTTTGTTTCTAAGGATTGACAAGGTATAAACTTCGTATATTTTAAGTTCCTGGGAATTTTACCTTCAAAAGTCAGTTCATAGTTCCCAAACCCTGGTACTTGTGTGAAGAGTATTAACCATTCTTGAGAGTGAGAAAGGTGTTGCTGCTTTAGGTCTTTGGAATCTATACCTTGAACCATTTCCACATAGTTTTGATTATCGTATATCTGAGTGCTGGCATTCCTCCAGCCTTGCCAGCAGGAAAGATGTTCATGTTCAAAATATCTGAATCTTTCTTCTTGGAGTCTGTAGCTCTCTTTCCAGTTTCCTAGAAAAATAAGCAGGTAAGATGGAAGCTGTGCTTTAAAATTTCCAAGTATCTCAATCAACAAGCTCCAGAATTACAGGAATGTATGTGTGGGTGCAAGTGGGAAAGAAGTGTTATGACTTAGGCTGCTCCATATTTGGGTGTGGAATTCATTAGTTTTTTCATTCATAGATGTATTCATTCATTCAACAAACATATCTTGAGCATCTACTACTTACCAGGTACTGTTAGAAATAAAAGAGAAAGCCTGACTGGTTTAATGGAAATAGTCTTAAAGACTGAGATTTAATTAGATTACTCTATTTGGGACATTATTATAAGAAATAAAATATTGTTTCTATTTTTCTGTTCTAAAATAGTGTAGTAGATTGTGGGAAAAAACTCTCTACTTTATCTACATCTTTGGGTGTTCCCCTTCCACAGTGACTCTAGGCTTGGCTATATAATTTGCTTTGGCCACTGGGACAAAAGTGAGACAAGCAGTGATTCGCAAAATGCTTGTGCATTGGGGCTTGGCCTCTCTTGCTGGTTTTGAAAGTCCTGTGATCACCACCATGTAAATGAGCCTGGGCTGGCCTCCCTGAAGAGAGACATATGGTCAATACATGCCTGTTATAACACTGATACTGACCAACTGCCTTTCAGGCTGTCCAGCTTCATCTTAGACCATCCAGCCCCAATCAAGTCACTCCATGATAGAAGATCCATCTAACCAACTAGAATCATGAAAAATAACACAGTTTGTTTTAAGTCACTAAGTTTGGGGTAGTTTGTTATACAGCAAAAGCTAACTTACAAATAGAACATGAAGAGAGAACAAATTGAGGACTGCACAAAATTATGGGCAGAAATCTGTGCTTTAAATGTAATCCAGACAATAAATAAGAATCACAAATACCTATTAATTACATAGCCAAAATGTATTGGAAGATATCTTGCTTTCTTACCTTCTATTTGTCATGTGATTTAAGACCCATTTTTGAGAATGTTTCTTCTACCTCAATACAGCACCCTAATAACGAAAATACTCAACAAAACTGGTCCCAGCCAGATGGCTTCACAGGTGAATTCTATCAAACATTTAGAGAAGAGCTAACACCTATCCTTCTCAAACTCTTCCAAAATATAGCAGAGGGAGGAACACTCCCAAATTCATTCTACAAGGCCACCATCACCTTGATACCAAAACTAGACAAGGCTGGCACAAAGAAAGAAAACTACAGGCCAATATCACTGAGGAACATAGATGCAAAAATCCTCAACAAAATACTAGCAAACAGAATCCAACAGCACATTAAAAGGATCATACACCATGATCAAGTGGGGTTTATTCCAGGAATGCAAGGATTCTTCAATATACGCAAATCTATCAATGTGATTAACCATATTAACAAATTGAAGGAGAAAAACCATATGATCATCTCAATAGATGCAGAGAAAGCTTTTGACAAAATTCAACACCCATTTATGATAAAAACCCTGCAGAAAGTAGGTGTAGAGGGAACTTTCCTCAATATAATAAAGGCCGTATATGACAAGCCCACAGCCAACATCATCCTCAATGGCGAAAAACTGAAAGCATTTCCACTAAGGTCAGGAACAAGACAAGGTTGCCCACTCTCACCACTCTTATTCAACATAGTTTTGGAAGTTTTAGCCACAGCAATCAGAGAAGAAAAGGAAATAAAAGGAATCCAAATCGGAAAAGAAGAAGTAAAGCTGTCACTGTTTGCAGATGACATGATACTATACATAGAGAATCCTAAAGATGCTACCAGAAAACTACTAGAGCTAATCAATGAATTTGGTAAAGTAGCAGGATACAAAATTAATGCACAGAAATCTCTGGCATTCCTATACACTAATGATGAAAAATCTGAAAGTGAAATCAAGAAAACACTCCCATTTACCATTGCAACAAAAAGAATAAAATATCTAGGAATAAACCTACCTAAGGAGACAAAAGACCTGTATGCAGAAAATTATAAGACACTGATGAAAGAAATTAAAGATGATACAAACAGATGGAGAGATATACCATGTTCTTGGATTGGAAGAATCAACATTGTGAAAATGACTCTACTACCCAAAGCAATCTATAGATTCAATGCAATCCCTATCAAACTACCACTGGCATTTTTCACAGAACTAGAACAAAAAACTTCACAATTTGTATGGAGTCACAAAAGACCCCAAATAGCCAAAGCAATCTTGAAAAAGAAAAACGGAGCTGGAGGAATCAGGCTCCCTGACTTCAGAGTATACTACAAAGCTACAGTAATCAAGACAGTATGGTACTGGCACAAAAACAGAAAGACAGATCAATGGAACAGGATAGAAAGCCCAGAGATAAACCCACGCACATATGGTCACCTTATCTTTGATAAAGGAGGCAGGAATGTACAGTGGAGAAAGGACAGCCTCTTCAATAAGTGGTGCTGGGAAAACTGGACAGGTACATGTAAAAGTATGAGATTAGATCACTCCCTAACACCATACACAAAAATAAGCTCAAAATGGATTAAAGACCTAAATGTAAGGCCAGAAACTATCAAACTCTTAGAGGAAAACATAGGCAGAACACTCTATGACATAAATCACAGCAAGATCCTTTTTGACCCACCTCCTAGAGAAATGGAAATAAAAACAAAAATAAACAAATGGGACCTAATGAAACTTCAAAGCTTTTGCACAGCAAAGGAAACCATAAACAAGACCAAAAGACAACCCTCAGAATGGGAGAAAATATTTGCAAATGAAGCAACTGACAAAGGATTAATCTCCAAAATTTACAAGCAGCTCATGCAGCTCAATAACAAAAAAACAAACAACCCAATCCAAAAATGGGCAGAAGACCTAAATAGACATTTCTCCAAAGAAGATATACAGACTGCCAACAAACACATGAAAGAATGCTCAACATCATTAATCATTAGAGAAATGCAAATCAAAACTACAATGAGATATCATCTCACACCAGTCAGAATGGCCATCATCAAAAAATCTAGAAACAATAAATGCTGGAGAGGGTGTGGAGAAAAGGGAACACTCCTGCACTGCTGGTGGGAATGTTAATTGGTACAGCCACTATGGAGAACAGTATGGAGCTTCCTTAAAAAACTACAAATAAAACTACCATATGACGCAGCAATCCCACTACTGGGCATATACCCTGAGAAAACCATAATTCAAAAAGAGTCATGTACCAAAATGTTCATTGCCGCTCTATTTACGATAGCCTGGAGATGGAGACAACCTAAGTGCCCATCATCGGATGAATGGATAAAGAAGTTGTGGCACATACATACAATGGAATATTACTCAGCCATAAAAAGAAACGAAATTGAGCTGTTTGTAATGAGGTGGATAGACCTAGAGTCTGTCATACAGAGTGAAGTAAGTCAGAAAGAGAGAGAGACAAATACCATATGCTAACACATATATAGGGAATTTAAGAAAAAAAAATGTCATGAAGAACCTAGGGGTAAGACAGGAATAAAGACACAGACCTACTGGAGAATGGACTTGAGGATATGGGGAGGGGGAAGGGTGAGCTGTGACAAAGCGAGAGAGAGGCATGGACATATATACACTACCAAACGTAAGGCAGATAGCTAGTGGGAAGCAGCCGCATAGCACAGGGATATCAGCTCGGTGCTTTGTGACCGCCTGGAGGGGTGGGATAGGGAGGGTGGGAGGGAGGGAGACGCAAGAGGGAAGAGATATGGGAACATATGTATATGTATAACTGATTCACTTTGCTATAAAGCAGAAACTAACACACCATTGTAAAGCAATTACACCCCAATAAAGATGTTAAAAAAAAAACTGGTCCCAGAATAAAGTAACCTTATTTCCTAAGAGTTGGGATAATTTACCTACTGACATGACATTTGTGTAGTTCTCCCACATGACCTCTCTGTAGAGCTTTTTTTGAGAAGAATCCAAGAATTTCCACTCCTCCCAAGTAAAATTAACAGTCACATCTTCAAATGTTACTGCCATCTGGTCGAAGATCAGGCTTTCCAGGAAGAAGAAATCTAAGTGAGAAGATGGACAAAGAAAGAGACATTCAGCAGGTAACATAAGTGGTAAACCAAAAAGAAAAAGAAATAACTCCAATAATGAAGAAAAACAAGAAAGGTAAGAGGAGACATAATAAGAGGTCAAGTAGTTAAATAATGTATCCAGTCATTGAACACCATCACCATCATAAGAAACATTTATATAGCATTTGTCTGCTAACCCCTGGGCCAAGTAAGTACTCTTCACATATATTTCAAGTAATCCTCACAGCAATCCTATGTTGTAGATACTATTATTATCCTCATTTTACACATTAGTAATAATGGTTGAAAAAGATTAATTCCCAAGATATGGACCTGGAGGTACTGCAGCTAGGACCCAGGTCTACATACTCTGGACCAGAACTGTTTGCCAACTGTAACAGTATTGCTTCATGTTGCTTATATTACTGCTTCATGGTTGATCACTTTAGACTGTTTACTTCCCACTGTGAGATGAGGAATTAGATTACCACCTGTAGCATTAGTACTAATTTTCTAGTTAAATCAATAAGCAGTGCTTATATAATTTTAAATATGATTAGATACCATTTTTTTGTGGGGGGGGAATTACCTGTTTAATTTTTATTTAATAAATTTACTGTCCTCAATTTTTTGATTTTTCAAAAGGCTTTACATAATCTATTTTATCAAGTGTCTCATCCCCTCGCCCACCCCTTTGGTTTTGGAAAAGTCCATCATCCTGCTCCAGTCAGGGCCGGCTACTCGTTAGTGCTGCATTTCAAGATCATATGACTCTGCTTCTTTTGTGATTTACTCCATTAATTGGGAGGCACATAACAACATGAGTTCAATCAAGCCTGTGAATGTTAAGCCTATGGCCATCGAAAAAAGCAAAGGTGAGAAACAGGTGAGGGTTTCTTCAAAGGAGAATGTCCAAACACAGTTACTAGGAAAGATTCCCAAGAATCATTTGAATCACTGTATGCCTTAAGTCTTTATTACTATCCCTCATAAGTGGCTGGGTGTAGAATTCGACAGTGAAAAGAATTTTTCTCAAAACTGCTTCACTGTTTATAAGCTTTTAGTGTTGCTAAGACTGATTTAAAGAACAAACAAACTGTAATTCCTTTGTGGGCAACATTTTCTTTGCTCTCTGGAAATATTTTAGGGTCTTCTTTTGTGGCTGGCCCTCTGCCCCAAATGGTGTATGGATGTGAGCCTCTCCAAAGTTCACAGGGCTCATCAGTTCCTTTCTTGTCTGTATTACCCTGCTGAGTATTCTAAGATGTAACATCTTCAGCCCTATGTGGCTCTTACCACTATTCCTACTGTTGCCATCCAGGATTTTGTTGAAATTTCTCATTTGCTGATGGCTCTTCGGCTTCATCATTGTAAGTTCATAAATTTCTTGGTTTTTATTATATCTTTGCAGTTTTAGAAAGTAGAAGAGATAAATGCATGTATTCTGTCTAAAAATATTTTAGTAGAAAGAATAGATCATAAGCTGGTTATGTGACAAATTCATTTTTCTTTGATGACACATTCTCAATTGTAAAGTTCAATTTAAAATGTTAAGTAAATACTAAGATTTAGGAATTTATTTTAAAAAATATACTAGAGATTAAGAGCCTCATTTTTTTTTTTACTGAAAGTTCATAAAAATTATAACAATGCTGAAGTAATATAAGTAAAAATTAAGTCTACCCTCCCCAAATAATTTAAGAAATAACCACTATAGTTTTCACTGTGTCCTTACGGACCTTTTTTCATACATACATACCCCACTGATGTTTTTTTCATAACACAGATGTGATAATTCTGCAGTCTGCTTTTTTTTACATAATATATAGTATACAACTTCCCGTTTCAGTACATATAGGCCTATGTTATTCGTGGTGATTTTAAAATATGTCCAGAAATTATTTGATACCTTTCCCTTCAAAAGGTAGAGCCTAATTCTCCACCCCTTGAATGTGGTCTGGGTTAGGGACTTACTTCTGAAGAACAGGAAAAAAAAGCAGAAGGGGAAGCAATGGTGTGCAGCTTTCAAGACTAGCTCATAAAAGGCACTGCAGCTTCCTCCATGCTTTTTTTCTTGGATCAGTCACTCTAGGAGAAGCTACCTAACACACTTTATGAATAGTTAGGCAGCCCTGTAGAGAGGCCCATATGGTGAGGAACTGAGGCCTTCTGTCCTCAGTGAGAAATGAGGCATCTGCCAACAGCCATGTGAGTGAACCATCTTAGAAGTGGATCCTCCAGCCCCAGTGAAGGCTTCCAATGAACTGTAGTCCTGCTGACAGCTTGACTGCAACCTCGTGTGAAACCCTGAGCCAGAACCACACTGCTATACTGTTCCCAGATTCCTGACCCTTAGAAACTGAGATAATAAATGTTTGTTGTTTTAAGCTGCTACATATAAGTTATTATGCAGAAATAGATGGCTGATGTATTGTTGTAAAAGTTGCATAGCATTTCATGTTATGATGTTCCAAAATTTAACTGTTCCCATACTGATGAAGATTATTTCCAGTTTTCTGGCTATCATAATACAGCAGTGAACAACTCTCTTAAATACATCATTGAACACTCGTAATATTTCTAGAAGATACATTTCCAGAATTAGAACCACCAGGCATGTGCATTTCAGTTTACTAAAAAACACTGTAAAACTTTGAAAATATTTTTTAAAATTTGTTAAAAATATTTTCCCCCACTAGAAAGTTAAAAGCGGAATACCTACATTCAAAATTAGTAAGTACAAGTCTATAGAGGAAAAAAATTATAGAAAGCATAAATTAAGATGGCAAGTAAAATTATTAATAGACAAAAGGATACTAAAACAGTTTTAAAATATAGAGGCATATTGCTTAGAAGACACTCCAAACTACTGAATTCTAGAAGATTAAAAATGAAAAGACAGGCTAATCTATAACAGAAAAATATAGACAAAAATAAAGTAGGGGCTTCCCTGGTGGTGCAGTGGTTGGGAGTCCGCCTGCCGATTCAGGGGACGCGGGTTCGTGCCCCAGTCCAGGAAGATCCCACATGCCACAGAGTGGCTGGGCCCGTGAGCCATGGCCACTGGGCCTGCGTGTCCGGAGCCTGTTGCTCCGCAACGGAAGAGGCCGCAGCAGTGAGAGGCCCGCGTACCGGAAAATAAATAAATAAATAAAGTAGGTTTTGCAATATTAATATTACATAAGGTAAAATCAAAGGAAAAAATATTACCCTAGATTAACAGAGTAATTTTATGAGAAATGAAATTATTGCTCTTGGTGTACCACCCACCAGAATTAAGATTTTGTCAGAATTGCTCCAAGACTGTGTATCAGAAGGTGGGGGGGTGAGAGAAGATGGGGACCATATGATAGCAAAAATAACAGTAATTATATTAAATGTGAATAGCTTAATCTCACAGATTAAAAGACACAGATTTGTAGGTTAAAAAAATAAGATTCAACATGTGGTTTAGAAGAGACACTAAAAAGAAAAAAAACATGGGAATAAAAGAATGGAAAAACATATTCCACACAAATATGAACCAAAAGAAAGCTGTAATAACAAACTTAACTTCAGCTGAGATAAAATTTATGGCAAAAAGTTTGTAACTATGTGTGGTGATGGATGTTAACTAGACATATTGTGGTGATCATTTTACAATATATACAAATATAGAATCATGTTGTATACCTGAAACTAATATGTCAGTTATATCCCAATAAAAAATTTATGGCAAAAATATAAGGGACAAAAACACAGGTTTTTTTTCTGTATTAGTTAATAAATAGTAAGACCAAAAAATATCCATTATAATTAAACTGCACCCACAAATAAAATTTCAAAATGTATTAAGTAACAACTATCGTAAGTTCAAGGAGATATAATATATACACCATTGATTGTAATTATAGATATTAATACACTCCTCTCAGAAAATGACAGATCAAGCAAAACCAAACTCAACAATATAAAGACTAAACAGTACAATTAATACTCGAGTTATTTTTTCTGTGTTGAATTCTATACTCCCAAAACACTAAATACACATTATTTTCATGAACCCACAGTACTGTTACAAGATTGACCATGTATTGGTCTATAAAAAAAATCTCAATAAATTCCAAATTATCAACATAATGCAGAATACATTCTCTAGATACAAGGTAATAAAATCAGGAACTATTAACAATGGAATTTAAAAATCCACATTTCTGGAACCCAAGTAACATATTAAATAGCCCTTAAATTTAAAAGGAAAATATAATGATAATTAAGAAAATCTGAATTGAATAATAATAATTACACATCAAAATTTTCAAGACCCAGATAAATAAGTACTAAAAGGAAATAAGAATGGCTGCATATAATCAACCTAAGCATTCAACTCAGAAACTCAGAAAACAAAAACCCTCCCCCTCTAAAAATAAAAGAGCAAACTTAAAAAAAAAAGGATAAAGCTGAAAATCAAAGGGGCAATAAACAAATAGATGATGTGGAAATGCATAAGGCCAAAAGATGCTCTTAAAAATTTAATAAGTCAAAAAAATTTAATAAGTCAGATCTCTGCAAGTCTAATTTTTTTTTGAAAAGATGATTATAAACAAAATACTGGACAAAATGAGGAAATAACCACAGACATAAGACAAAATAATACAAGAGCATTATGAACTATATGCAAATACACTTGAACATCTATACAAAAGGACAAATTCCTAGTACACAATGCCAATATAAAATGCCAAAATAGATTTTAAGAGTAATATAAAATTACAGACCAGTAAGTATTAAAGGAAACTGAAATGGCAGCCAAGATTCTTTCTCCCTCCCCCAAAATCAAAGGCCCAAAGAGTTTTACAGTTGAGTTCTCACAAATGTTCAATTAACAGTTAATTACTATTATAATCAAATTGTTTTAGAAAATAGAAAGTGAAAATTACTAGCTCATTATATGGCCAGTGTAATATTGATTACAAG